AGATGAATTGTTTTCACCTATATTACAACTAGAAGCACTAAGTTCGTTTCAAGTACATAGAACTTCATCTTTTGTTAGACCTAAAATAGAATATGTTATTCCTAAACAGAATAATGAAGAAAACGAAGCAAGTTCTTCGAAAACAGAAACTTATACTGAAGTAATCATAAAACCAAATAACAATATATATAAAATTGAACAAAAGGTTCAAGAGATAAGTAAAGAATTAGGACTAAAAATATGACAAGTTCTAATAAAAGTTTTAGAAATTTTAGCTAAAATATTAATAAGGGTAGAATTGTATTTTTCACCCCTAAAATGGCTATATTTCATCTTTTTTAAAAAAGATGGTTGTATTTCATTTTTTACTTCAAAAAAGTGCTAAAAACCAGCGGCTCTCTATCGCGTTTTCTTTATAGTTTTAGTAACTTAACAGCTTAACGATTCGAGTTCGAGTCAATCTAGAGTTTTAACAAATTAGAATTATAAAAATTTATATAATTTTTTTTTTTTTTTTTTACTTTAGCCAGTCTTATCGAGTCTGGGTAAGCACGATTCTTTAACGTAACAAGCTTTAACCGAGTTTGAGCTTGGCTCGTTTGAATCGAGTTCGATCCCTAACGAGACGAGCCAAGCGAAACTTACGAGTGACTCGTTTTGTTTGACAACTATAATAAATAATGCACTAATCACTATAATAAGTTACTGCTTGCTAAGGTTCCTATAATTCTTACATTGGTTTAAGGCAACTCAAAATTTGTATGATTAACTATGGAAATCGAAATAAATAAATTTTGGATATGTTTCATTAGTTTTAAAATTATAAAAAATTAAAATGCCTAAAACTTATGTTAACAGAATCAATCCAACGTTTCAAAAACGCAGCACCTTTCAGCTTGTTTACTTAAATGAGTCGAGCTGAAACAACTAAACGAGCATGTAAATGAGTCGACTCAAACAACTAAACGAGCCTGCTATTAAACGTCTGAGTTGAGCTTGCTTGTAAATAGTTTGTTTTCTATTTTTATTTTTTTGTTTATTTCTAATAGAATTTACAAAAAAATTAATATCGAGTCAAACTTACTGCGAGCTAAGGTTCTAGATTTACTAAACGAGCCGAGTAGAGCGTTCACAAACTTAAACGAGTCGAACTAACTCATTTATTTCACGAGATCGAACGTGGAATTTATGAAACTTTCATTCCTCAACATTATACATTATTGAACATCTTTTTTTCCCTCTCATTTTCTATTTTAATTTTTTAGTTTGTCCATTCTCCTCCGCTAAAAACAGAAACCAAACTCCAGAAAAAGATCCTTAGAGCAACTCCAAGAGTTTCCCAAAAATTGCTTCCCCAAAACAATGTATTGGGGACTCTCCCTAAAGAAAACTTCCCTAAAAACTTATCAACCCACAGCAGATTGCTAATAACTAGTCCCTAATATTTTAAAACAGGCCACGTCATTGTAA